CCAATTAGACAACCATCACGACGATTGATAAAATGCTTCAAGAGGGATGAATTATTGAGAAGTCAAATAGTCCATGGTCTGCGCCAGTAGTATTGGTTACAAAGAAAGATGGAAGTCTTAGATTTTGTGTAACTAGTAAGCTCAATGACTTCACCATGAAGGACAGCTTATCTCTTCCGTGGATAGACGATACATTAACAGCTATGTCGGGCTCCAGTTTAACGTAATGCCTTTAGGATTGTGTAATGCTCCAGCTACATTTGAGCGACTGATGCATCCTGTTTTGCGAGGCCTTACACGGAGAACTTGCCTGGTATATTTAGATGATGTCATATGATCATGTGAAATTCGTTCCAAGAACATCTCAATACCCTGAAACAAGTTTTCGACCGCTTCCGGAATGCCAACTTGAAATTCAACCCAAACAAGTGTTTTCTATTCCAAAAGAAAGTGGAATTCTTAGGTCACGTGGTATCTGAAGATCGCATACAAGTTATGGAAGGAAAAATAGATGCTGTCAGGGATTGGCCAAAACCACGCGACAAACGTGAACTAGGAGTTTTCTAGGATTATGTTCTTATTATCGAAGATTTGTGGAAGCATTCGCCAATATATAGCTGCTCCGCTTCATCGATTCACAGGAGAAAAATCAACATTCAATTGGACCTAGAAAATAAAAAGGAGCATTAATGTACCAGCCCAGTGTTGTCTGTTGTCCTATCCCGATCAGAAGGGCATGTTGATTTTGGACACAGATGCAAGCAACACCAGTGTTGGAGCGGTACTTTCACAAATTCAAAATATACAAGAGCATGTCGTAAAGCATTACGGCAGGATCTTATCAAAGCCAGAACGAAATTATTGTCACCAGAAGAGAGTTGTTCGCCATAGTAAAAGCAGTCGATCATTTCCATAAGTATCACTATGGACGTAATAAATTGCTAATTTGAACGGATCACGCAGCTCTAAAATTGCTTTTAGAAATGAAAACTCCCGAAGGACTGCTTGCTAGATGGATTAAGAAGTTGCAGCAATACGATTTCCAAATTAAACATCGACCTGGAGACCTGCATAAAAATGCTGACGCTCTGACTAGATGGCCATGCAAAGAAGACTACAAGCATTGTCAAAGAATCGACATGCATAAAAAAAACACTGGTCCGGCTGTGAGAAGAACAGGTATGATCGTTGATGATAAATAGAGTACCAAACAAATGAGAGCAGATCAAGAAGATGATGAATGTAGGCCAGAATGGAGGGAAGTGTCTAACAAGAGCTTGATTTACAAGGCGTTGTGGGCCCAGTGGAACTCTCTGGTCGTAGAAAATGGTTTACTTAAAAGATGGGAAATCCACACCACATATCATCCACACAAGAGCTAACTGGTTATCCCAAAAGACCGAGTGGAAGATGTATTAAAAGAAATACATGACGGAACTTCAGGGGCACATTTTGGAGTTAACAAGACTTTGGACAAAATTCTGGAACGTTTTTACTGGGTTCACTATCATGAAGACATTAAAAACTGGTGCCAAAAATGCGACATCTGTGTTACCAGTAAAGGCTTAAGCAAACTATAAAATCTCGGAGGCCCATAAAACAGTACAACGTCGGTCTTCCATTTGAAAGAATAGCGATAGATGTTGCCGGACCGTTTCCTGAGTCAAAGCGTATGGTAACAAATACATCTTGGTTATCATGGATTACTTCAGTAAATGGTCATAAGTTTTCGGTATTCCCAATCAAGTGTAGCAAAACGCGCCCAAGTTCTCTTTTTAATTAGTTAGATGGTAAATGGCGAGCGGTTTATTGATGGTGTTTATTTCCTTGAGCGGCTACCTATAAAATTGTGGGGGGGTCTATTCGCAAAAGAGAGAAACAAACTATTGAGGTTTACTAAATTATATTTTATTATACTTAAAACCAAAATTAAAATAAAGCAAATATCTTTCTATGTCTGACAGCCACTTCTATTTTTCCCAAATCAATTTATTTCACGTCCGTTCAAATTTCATTACTACGGACCAGGAATTATCCATTCTAAAAACGCCCTACTTCTTCTATTCTTAATAACTTAGACTTAGAAGTTTATACATTTACTTTTTCAAACCACATTTCCGATTCACATTCCTATTAAAACTACCCTTCACCCATATCTATAAATTCTTAAAACTCCTAAGTCATTTACTGACAGCTTATGCAGAATAATTATTTAAGTCATAATCCCACTCACTGGATTATATATGTATAACCAACTATATTTTTATAAAAAACCTTACAATAATTTCTAAATGAAAAAAAAACCTAATTCAAAATTTCAGCACTTAAGGTCATCAATGGTACTTCATGAACAACAACTTTCAATCAAAACTTTCCAATACATTTAGTGGTTCCCATCCCATGCTTCACTAAGGATAATTTTGAACAGCACAATTACTATTTTTGGATTCCTAGCCAACAAACACAATTCTTTAAATTCTTATTAGTTCGTTAGTATAGCCCTTAAACTTCAATTGAACAATCCAATTCAACATTCTTTAATAATTCCTACTCAAAATCGAATATTGTTAAGAGCATTATAATTTTCCTTTGTTAATTCTTTGCAAAATTAATTAAAATGTCATTATACTCGAAAGCAATTAAAGTTTTTACAGTCAAATCACTCAAGTTTTATATGCATTAAAGTTCAATGGCAATTCACTTCAAAGTTATTCCCATCATTGATATAAGTCAGAAAAACAATATCAGTCACTAGAGTGTACTTACATTTAAATTTCACCCGGAACTTTATCCGGACTGAAAAGGGCCGTAGCCAGGCGGGGGCATTGGGGGGGCAATGTCCTATCTTTCAAATAATCATGCCCTACCTTTAAAACACAACATGCGTTAAGGTTTCTCTGGGAAATTTAAGAGTAGATAATGAATAGGCCTGAAATCGAGTAAGTGCCAGTGTTTTCGAAAATGCCTAAATGTATGCAACAATGTGTGACGTTTAGGGTGGATTTTCATGCATCCGTTTTTCCGACGAAAGATGTCCGAAAAACATTCTATTCTGATATAATCGTATAAAAATATGTCAAAATAGAAGATTTTTCGGACATATTTCGTCGGAAAACGGATGCATGAAAAGTAAGCTTTACACAGAGGAACTTTTTAGTTTCGAAAGGGTGCGAATACAAGGATAATGCACACCACTACACAGGATTGCTTATCGGCTTCGTTTGTGGAAATCGAGACCATATGGTCTAGCACCATTGACAACATCATCAACTATATCGTCAGCTGTTTGCGCCAGCGGTTGTAGTTTAGAATATACAATTAGGATGAAAAATGTTATTACATTTTGATTAACATAATAGGCAAAGAGGAAGATGTAAACGAGATCTGAAAAAGCGTTTTTTGAGATTGTACTTAAACCAAGTATTCATAAAGCGAAAGCCCGCGTGTGCTGTGCTAGGTACCAGTGGTGCAAAAACCCTACGTCAAGGCGAGAAACGACACGCTGCCTACGTCATCGCTGGTTCTTTGGCGTAGTGAGGGGCTTGAGATTTAATCTACACTGGCCTTATGAGGATAAGCTATCCTGTAGTAGTACTTAGTGTGTATTATCCTTGATGCGAATGGTTCGTAGCGACGCGAGAATCAGCGCCATTTTGTTTACTTGCCAGAGATGTTATTTATTGAAAAATTTGCCTTCGGCGATATTACCCCATTTTGTTTTACTATAAAAAATTCGAGCAGGGAGGGGGGGAAAGATTCAAGTAGTGTTTGCCCTATGTCAAATTTTTCATGCCCTATCACAAATTTGACTCTAGCTACGGCCCAGGGACTGACTTATTAGGTACGGTAGATTTAACTGGACTGAACTTAAAAACTGAACTGTTTCTTCTAAAACCGCTTTATTTATATTATTCGATCCCCCCAAAATTCCTAATTTGATCATTCATTAACCTTCCTTTTTTATTTCCTTAAAATCGAATAATTATGTTGCAATTTCCTGGTTTATCGGGGTCAACAGATTTGGTTTAGGAATGTGAGGACCTCTAAATCAAAGAAAACCAATACACGTGTTGACGTCTCGGCCATAAATCACCGATTCAATTGCTTTGGCCTTGCTTTTAATATTTTTATGGATTTGATTTAGATGATAAAACCACGCCGCTTGGTGACTAAATAATAAAATGTTGAAAATATTTTAGATGTTTTAATTGAATTGGGGTCAACGTTATTTTGTTTCATTTTCAATTTATCGATACTGATTTGAAATACCGGAAATTCAGTTTTTGATTATTTGATTACATTTAATTTTTACAGTAAAGACATTGTAAATTACGGGTCTATTTTCCCAGGTCATTACACAAGAAGCCATCACTGTTGCCCAGGTGCTAGTGGCCGAAGTTTTTAGTCGTCATGGTATGCCACTAGAGTTACATTCAGATCAAGGACGAAATTTCGAATCTGCCATCTTCAAGAAAATTTGTGAGATCATGGGAATTCGTAAGACAAGGACAACACCTTTACATCCACAGTTTGATGGCATGGTAGAACGATTTAATAAGACCATAGAGGACCATCTAACAAAAGTCGTCGCAAAGAACCAGCGAGATTGGGAGAAACATTGGCCTCTAGTTTTAATGGCTTACAGAGCAACTGTTCACCAGTCAATAGGTGAAAGTCCAGCTTGAATCGTTTTTGGAAGAGAACTCCAGGTTACCTTGCGATCTGATGTTTGGAATACCTGAAGAAAAACGAAAAGAAATCCGAGATTATGCTGACAAAGTAAGGGCACGACTTCTGGGGATGATTTTGCTTGAGAGCACATTCAGATGGCCAGTGACCGAATGAAGACCAGAGATAGGTACGAGTTGAATGCCAATTCAGCCGGATTTCAAGAAGGTGATTTGGTATGACTGTTAAATCCAACAAGAAAGAAAGGAGTGTCGCCGAAATTGTCTTCAGCATGGAAAGGACCATACAGAATAATCAAGAGAATCAATGATTTGGTTTATCGAGTTCAGCGCAACACCAGGAGTCAGATGAAGGTTGTACATCTAGACAGATTGACGAAATATCATGGGCGTGAAGTTGATCGGGACGATCAACCTTAAGAGGAGGGTAGTGTAACAGAATTTATCCATTTTGGATCGCTTTTTGATCAATCGGGTGCAGGGGTCACGCCCTTCTGCTCTTTCTATATTCATTCTAATAATGCTTTTTCAATTTTTTTGTTGTCCACTAAACAAAAACGTAAATAAATAAAAGTGTTTTGGGGTTAACAGGCTCTGAAATTTTGAGCAAGAACTGCGCAGAAGTACAATCGGGTATCAATTTCAGATGGGGTGCCCTAATTTGTCGCCCTCGGAGTACTCCCTCAGAGATCCGTTTCGTCACGGACCAGACGGGGAGTGGGGAGTGCTCTGGGAGCAGTAAAACCGAAAACGCTATTCACACTGTCGAAAAAAAAGTGGAAGCGACTGTCATCTGTCATAAAAATTTTCATCGTTTTCGAGGTAATTTTAATATTTAATTTTAATTTAATTTTTAAAAATATTGTGATTTTAATATTTTAATAAAATATTGAAGAAATTCCAGACCTAAGAAGGAATGATAAATTGCAAAGCTCCTCGCTTTGTACTTGCTCAAAATTGAATACAACGTGCTATGGATAGAAGAATTGACGAGAGATTCCGTAAACCAAGACGTACTAGAGGTACCCCGTTTCACGTACAAAGGAACTACTGGGCGGGCGGTATAATTGCTTTGGGGGGACTCACTTGGTACTTGTGGGAGTAAGTACCCTACTATCTTCTACTACTACTACTACTTATCTTCTTTACTTCGCTCTTTATTATTTAAACCTACGGTACTGCCAAATTGACAAAAAAATCTCAAGTGAAGAATGTCAATTTCTGTTCTAAAATATAATACTCAGTAACAGGAAGCTGTTCGACCAAAAAATATTCAACAAGAGACTTTATATCTACTGGTTTTAGATTGTTGCCTCAAACAAAGAAGTTCAGAAAACTTGTGTTAGAAAAGACAGGAGAAGATCCTGATGTAATAAAGGCAAAGGCTTTCCAATATAATGCTGGAATAAAAGATCCGGCTCTCGCTTCTTTAATAGGTAAATTGAGAGAGAGGGAAGCATACAAAAACGAACCTCCAACTGATTCTGCATTTTTCAACTTTTTCCGGCCAACCAAAATAATTGGTCTTAGCGACACTGACGATGAATAAAAATAGGTTTGTTATTTTGTAGTAGATATTGGTTGTTAGTAAATTATTAGATGTAGTCAAATAAATGAATTATTATAGAATTTGCAGGCTTTTTTTGAACTCTCTTCATATTTTTTCCAGCTCCAAATCCAAAACTGCAACATCAAAAAAAAAGCAAAATCAATCAGTTTCTAAATATTTCCAATCAAAAAAAGAGTTGAAAAACGACGACTCAAGCCAAAAATCAACTCCTAAAAAATCAGATCCGAAAAATAAATTCAACGATTCAGCTGATGATTTTAGATCGCCTATGCCAATTGCAAAAAATAGAAATTTAACATGGAAGCTTAACCAGCCAAAACAAAAAACCAACAAAAAATCAAAAAGCAAAGCTAAAAACTGCACTTTAGAAATAATTAAAGATAACTTTGAAGGAGGAGATGAAAATCCTGAGCATTTACAAATGGCAATTGCTTTGTCTAAGTCTTCTTATGAAGCAGAGTATGGACATAATTGTGAGTTGCAGAATAATGTACCAGACATCGGAGAAATTTTACAGAATGTCAAACCAACAAATCTGGAACGCTTTGGTTTCAAAAAAAGCAAGCCCACCATCGCAGTTGAATGTAGAAATTTACAAAAACCTGAGGTAAGAGTTTTTCATTTTCCACTTTTCACATAAATTATTTTGTTTTATCTCAGGTTTCTAGAAAAGGGAGAGGCGGTTTAAAATATATTACTCCAATACTTGATATTCGCACTCCTGAAGAACGTGAATCAATAATTGAATCTAAAATAACTTTTATTTCGAGTCAACCGAATATTGCAATTAAGAAACCATCTAAAAGTTTGTTAACTAGCTTGAAACTACAAGAAGTTAAATCTGAAAATTACACAATTTTTGGTTTGGATAATTTATATGGAAAAAATTGTTTTTATGTAGAAGATTTATTATTGGAAAAAAATCAAAACAAATGTGGATTTTTGTTGAAAGATTGGAGCTTGATACCAGGAAGAGATAAATCGCCACCAAAAATACCTTCACATATTACAGAAAATTCTGATAAAAGACCATTGAAAATGGATCTCTGTATAGAATCGTTACTAGAACACAGAGATTTGGTAATTGAAGTCACTAATGAAAAATTATCAAGAAGTCCGAAACCATTTTCTACAAACTTGCCACCAAATAACATCAGAGATGGTGCAAAAAATATTTCAAGAAGTATTTATGGATCATCAATAACCACATCAAAAGATAGTGGAGTATCAAGTTCAGGACAATATAGTTCTTTTAGCACAAATCGCAGTATTTCTCCAGATCTTTTCAGTTCTGATGATGAATATGATTATTCTGCATCAAAAAATAAAATTCAAGCTACAAGTCCTCAGGTAGATAACAACAATATTGAGGAAGATAAAAATAATCTAGAGAGTCTTGATTTACGATTAGATGATGATGATACTCCAATAAATCGATCAAATTCTTCATTGAGGCCGGCAGGTTTTTATAGTCTTGATGAATTTGAAGATCAGATGGATGAAGGTGGTCTGAGTTGTGGCTTTAAAGAGCCGAATTCAGATGAAGAACGTGTCTCGAGTCCAAAATGTATTGCAAAAAACACAGATATTGAATATTCAACATGCTCTTATGATGTGGGAAAAAACATGTCTTCTCCAGAAAGCATGACAGACCTAAGCTTCACAAAAAATATTTCAATTAGATCAGGATCAGAATGTTATTCACCAAAATCTACTGTTTCAAATAGCCATAGTGAAATATTGCAGGATTCATTTCATAATATTGACACAGCCGATACTAAATCAATTGCAAAAAATTTGCCAAATTTTATTGATGGAGGTCTTTCTACTTTTCAAAGAAGCATGGGAGATGTACAGTTTAATCCCTCAGTAAATAATTTCGAAGAACTTAAAAAATCCTCTTGCTCACTGTCTCTGAATTCAATAAGCTTTCCTAAATCTTCTTCAAGTGATAATGAAAACTCCATTGATTCAGTAGATACCTCGGTAGATACAGCAAGTATGGGATCAATTTTAGAATCAGATAAATCTGGAAATTTAGTTGAAAGTGATAGATATCTTGGGAAGTTAGAATTTAAAGAGACCACCTTGACACTAGAAGATCCAGAAACAGATTGTGCAATATCATTTCACAATCATGATGACATGGTTGAAGTAGCAGCTATGCCCATTAATGATAAAACAAATACTGCTCCAGATTTTTCCCCAATTGTTGAGACTTTGTTACCTCAACAAAATCACAGTTTTATTGAAATTTTAGATGATTCTTCATCCGATCTTGTTTATGAAACCAAACCTTCAAAAAGTCCATTTTTTGATGACTACAAATTTGACCCTAAGAAAAGTCCCACAAATAACTCTACCCCGCTAACAACCACCAGATTATCATCAATTAGAATGTCAACTGCATTTAATTCAGCTGAATTAAACATTACTGATTATGTGACTCAAATTCTTAATAAAGAACATCACAGTTTTGATAATCCCAAAATTAATGAAGATATGCCATCAAGTCAAGATTTTGTTGATGAAGAGTTGAATTATTCTTGTCACTGTGCCACACCAGTAAGACCTGCCAGGGAAGTAATTTTCGAGGAAGATATGCCGAAACCAGAAGCACCCCTATCGATTATTGAAGCAATATCAACCCCAAACAAATACATTATCAAAACTGAAAATATAACACCAATGCCTAACTATGATAAAATGGCAACACCCTCAATAAACAAGGAACTTCAAAAAATGGGAATTAAGCCTTTAAAACGTGCCAAAGGTTCAAAATTGCTTAAATATATTTATGAGTCGACTCACCCTCTTATAGGCTCTGTAGATTTAATAGAAGCATCTGATTCAGAAAGCCAAGGAAAAATTATCAAAAGGAGAAAAAGAAAACAAGAAGTTGGTGTGAAAAATGAAACTGCTTTGACTGATGTATATCATAATCCTTCAATTGAAATTGTAGGAGATTTACTTCTACAGAAGTGAGTAGTTTTAAATAGTTGCTTGATTTTATATTAACTTTAAGTACTTGATTGACCTATGACTATTGTTCTTTTAGTGAAAAACCGGAAAACTTGATTTTTGAAAGAAAACAATCTGCTAAAATACTATCTTGCAGAGTACCGTTACAAATAGTCTGGCATAATTTTCTTAGTTGTAATCCAACAATCAAGGAAAATATCCTTTTATACGAGCCTTTGCATCTGGAATCTTTGCACGAGTTACTCAAGGAACAAGGCTTTAAATTTCATGCCCAGGTATTTTTGAACAATTAATTTCAAATGAAATACTTATTCAATCATCCTTTTTAGGATCTATTAACGTTTTTAGATAAAAAGTGCATTACAATACGAACAAATCAAAATCGAGGAAAGAAGCATAGGTAGCATTAGAGAATTTTACTAGAGAGTGATATTTTCTCTGGTAGCTTGTTAATTCGATTTATTATCTTTGATTTTATAGTACTTTTAGCCTATTTATTTAATTTTTTTGTCTTCAAAATAAACTAATAGTTTTCATTTGTTACTGTTTTATTGACAGAACAAATAGGTACATTAATCCAACTACAATCTTTCCAAAAATATCACATTCGTTATTATTTTATTATAAATGTATCCAAATTATATTGTAAATTTTTTAGATACATTTATGAAAAGTAATATTACAATCCCTAACTTAAGCCTCTGCAGGTTTCTTCTGTTTGATTTTATAGTCGGAAAGGGCTGCCCTTATAGCATCTTCAGCCAACATTGAACAATGCAACTTGACGGGAGGCAAAGATAACTCTTTAGCAATTTCAGTATTTTTCAATTTCAATGCTTCATCGACTGACTTTCCTTTGACCCATTCGGTTGTGAAAGAGCTGCTAGCGATAGCAGAACCGCAGCCAAAGGTTTTAAACTTTGCCTCAACAATTTTTCCATCATCGTCAACTCTAATTTGGAGTTTCATCACGTCGCCGCAGGCTGGGGCCCCAACTAAACCGGTGCCCACATTCTGGTCGTTTTTGTCCAGAGAGCCAACATTTCGAGGATTTTCGTAGTGATCGATCACTTTGGGGTGATAGGATGCTGCCAAGATACGGAACGGATTGCACGATCCGCAAAATGATTTCAAAAGTTGATTACTTGGATTTAAAGCCATATTTGATTCTAGATGAAACAGAAATTTGATTATGTAAGTAAATTATTGAAAAATATACTGCGAACTTGCCTTTTGTTTGCAAATTATACACAAATTCTTTATCAATAGCAAAAGCAAAACTTCAACTTCAAAATAAAATATTTTCCATAACCTCAAAATTGTTCACTTTTATTTTAGTTTTCTACCGTTGGCCACACTGGGTGCAATACCCCAAGCAACTTTTTTGAACTTGGAGCAGAGAGGAGTGGGACCTTAGCAGTGGTGAGTACAAGTTTTGAGGCACTCTGGCACAATTCCGAATGTAAGATAAGAACCGAATTTTCGCGACGAACTACTTCCATGATTTCATGTCTTCATGAACACAAACGCTTTCGCGAGAAACCCATGACGTCATATTGAACGTTGTTCGACGGAAGCCTGGAGGCAGCTTCTAGCCAGCGTTCAAACTCATGACGTCACAGACAAACTATGGTTTATCCTTGGATGAACTACATTCGTCGCGAAAATTCGGTTCTTGTTTAAATGCAAGAGCCACATCGGTTCTAATCTTTGGTAGTAACTCTGGAGTGTTTCGAACTCGCTGCTCCGGAGCAAGTGTTAGGTTATCGAACGCAGTCCTGTTCATTTGACAAATCGTCGTTTTTGAGGTTATTTTTTTCTATTCAAAAATTTCAATTTTTTCAAAAATTTTCTCCTTTCCCTATAAAAATTCTCGTGTTATAATAAATGAAATAACAGTAATACAATGGACCCATACCCATATCTTCGTTTACTAAGCACCGGCAGATCTCTAAACTGTAACCTACTTACCCGTAAAATCAGTAAATACATACACAAAGATATTTCTTCAAAAGCTATCAGGCGGGTTTTCCTGGATTTTTTTGTAAAGGACCATGAACATACTTTTGTACGGTCGAGCCCTGTAGTCCCCTTTTGTGACCCGACAGTGCCATTCGTTAATGCAGGAATGAACCAGGTAAATCTAGAATAAAACTGTTGATACTCTACAAGAGATTTTCTGTTTGTCCTTCCTATATTATGTTTAGTAGGTTTATTTATTGTTCACTATTATGTGTTATTTCTGATCTTTAATTGACAGTGAATAATAAAATAGTTATTTGTTTCACTAGGCAGAAAAGTACAACTTTTACTGTCATTCAGTGAAAAAGTGTTTTGTGAATAAAAAGTCAAATTACAAGTATGTATCACTTCTGTTTTGTCTCTCTGATAAATCATATAGGGTGTTCATTTGTACTATTTTCTTGCTTCAAGCAGATCTCAGCAGCAGATCGGCGTTCACTTGTCCCTATATAATCTCATAAATAGCAGCTCCTAGCAGATTTTTCCGATTTTTCGAGCAGGTAGAGAAGTATAAATATGCACCTGAGTAAACACCCTAATCATACAAAGGACCACTTTAACACGGTAGCAGAGGTTACTTGCATTATCCAATTAGGTATAGAAGGTTAGCAAAGTGAACAGAAGAGAAAATCAAAGACAGAACTCATAATCTTGCTCAAAATTTTTGAAAACAAGTTCGACAGAAAATATTTTTAAAATTTTATTGGCATTGAGTTTTCTAAAGTACCTATTCACACGGAGGCATTAATTCCTAAAGATCTCCAAATAAACTTTGACAGGTTACTAAATGAAATCACAACCCAACACATCCTAAACAAGATAAAAGCCCTGAAGGATGCCAGTTTTCCAGGTCTCGACGGAATATCCTCATTAGTTCTACAGAAATGGTGATAAACTAGATGCTGTAAACTACAGGCCAATAAGCTTGCTACCCATTGTTAGCAGAATCATGGAATTTATGGTCGCAGAAAATTTATTCCAACTCAATAACATGGTTTTGTATCAAAATGGACTACCACAACTTGCCTACTTGACTATCTTAACAACTGGACAAAATCATTATGGATTTTACCAAGGCATTCAACCGAGTCCCAAGCCAGAGGCTTCTGCTAAAACTGGATCGTTTTGGTGTGAGAGGGAATTTACTGCTTTCGGTCAAAGACTACCTTACAAACAGGGAGTACAAAGTAGCATACCCCAAGGCTTGATACTTGCACCTCTGTTGTTTGTTACTTACACTATAGATCTCCTCAACCTAATAATATCAACATGTGCAGTGTTTGCTGACGACATAAAAACAACAATTCTGACTCGCTACAGAATGATTTAAACCAAATTGAGAAGTGATGTGTGTGACAACTACCCCTTAATGTGGAAAGATGTGTGGTACCTACTCTATCTTATTAAAAATAACTGAGAAAATGAATACACCATCAATGGGTCAGTGTGACCTTGGAGTGCTAAGCAAAGACCATGGCCAGCACATGAAACAACAATCTCAGAATGTGAAGGTGAGGCTTGGCACCCAAGTCTCATTAGAGACTGCAATAGCCTTGAAGCTCTACAGAAAAAAGCAACACGATTGCAACTTGGTAGAAGAACTATAAAATGAAAAAAGAACAGAACAACAAAAACGGCTGAGTTTTCAAAATAGAAGAACAAGAGGAGATCTTTATCTCCACCTACCAAACACTCCACAACAATATTCAAACAGTTAGACACCTCTATGCCTTGAACACAGACCAGAGACTCCGGGGTCACAATCTCTAGAAAGCTATACCACAGTGTGTAGGGAGAACTCTCTACCACACAGAGCCTTTGCCCTCTGGAATCAACTCGCAACTGAAACAGTTAGTGCTAATTTAGTGTCAGTTTTCAAGACAAAACTTGATAGTCAGTTCCCATAAAGCTTAAACCGAAACAAACACTCCAAAACTAGGCAACAGTTCAACATAAAGAGGGTTTTTTCTCTTGACGCAATATCAGCTCAAGGCTCCGGTAAAATTTGTTTACCTTGAATCACCTCTGGAGCACCTTTGACTTTGACTGACCTTAACAGTATCTCTAATCCATACTTGTCCTGTTATCGAGCCTGTTATCCAATTTGCATCACACAACTATCTAGTCGATAAGGGCTGAGATGACACCTATAAGTCCATTTTTGCACAGTTACTCACTGAAATTTATACTCAACCAACTGAAGAGAGCCAACATGTGCACCGTGAAAAGGGAACCAGAGGAATATTCTTGTGTCAGTCTGTTAAAAAAAAATTTGACAAGTAAATTTAACCCTGACCTAAAATATTAGAAACGCTTCCTTCCCATTACAAGTATATTATCACAATGTGGGTGGCTTAAGAACAAAATTTGATGAACTTGAACTAGCAATGTAGCAATGCAACTATGATATTGTTATAATTACCGAATCATGGTTATCAGATAAATACTCAGGAGAAGAAATTAACTTTCCGAACTACAGATGTGATAGAAATTCAAATACAAGCAGTAAGAAATGGGGATGTGGAATACTGATCTCAGTCTTATCAAAAATAATTACTTAAAGTCCACAATAATACTATAGAGCAATTATTCATAGAAATCAAGCTTGATTCATCTTGTTATACAATTGAAGGGGTGTATCTTCCTCCTAATTCTCCCATAGAAAATTGTGAAACGGTCCTCAATATTTGTGAAAGATTCTCATACTCACAAATAGTTCTTCTAGGTAACTACAATCTTCCTGAAGCTATCTACCTGGTTCAACGACAATAACGGCGTTGGTGTCAATTGCCCAGCAGGGGCTCGATTCTCGTCTCGGGGAATAGAGTTTTCCAATAGAACGAATGTTTTGTCCTTGTCAATGTCTCAGTCAATGTACAACAAAAAAACTGTACCTATTCGAAAAGTAAACAAGAATGATAGAGATGAAGCTCTACTCCCTGAGACGAGAATCCGGCCGCAGATTTGTCAAACGCAAAAATATAATTTGTGAAAGTTTCACGTTCTTAAACTTGTCTTAAACGATACAGCATCCAAATATTATGAATCGGTTTCTTGACCGTTCACTAGTCTACAAACTGGAATGATACCTGCTGTGGTTGTTACCAATAAGAAAGGATAATTATTTGTCTTAACATGTCCAACTTATCCAACCATATAACTAAAACATTAAAATATGAACAGTATTATTATTATTTCAAAAATGTTAATTATAGAGCAAGAAGTGGTAGTGCTGATACTGCAATGGAAATATTCTATGAAATAATTGCTAATTTATTGAGTATATATGTATGTTCCGGTCAAATTAATAAGGTCATCGAGTTCCCAAGTGGTTCAGAGTTCAGTACTAAACTTAAAGACGTAATTATTAAGAAAAAAACTGCTCATAATTTTTTTTTACAACTCAGAATCATAATGACTACCTATTTATAAAATTTCCAAGTTCAAGATCCTAATGTAAGGTTGAAACCAAAACCTGTCATTTAAATTATTTTATGTATCAAGGGGATTAGATTATAATGGGAAACTAGCCCGAGAGCCTCTGGCCCGAGGGATATATTTCGCCTGAAGGGCATTATAATCTAAAAATCCCCGTGGTGCAGGTGCATACAATGCTTTATTTTCTACTCAACACAATGTTCTTTCATCAATTTAGTATCAAATAAAATCAGTTAACTTGTGTGAAAGAATATTGCTTTGTATTTTGACATGTACCCAGTGATGTAAAATGACGGTCATTGGCGTCATGACGTGTCATGACTGTCATGACCATGGTCACAGTACATTGTAATTATTTCAATTTAAAACGCCACTACCTACAGTCTATCGTCTATTAACTCACAAATGGGTTTGACTATAAAGTTTTGACAAATTATTAAAGATTTCAGAACGAAAGAAATTTCAAAAAATTACAAAAAAAGTTAATAAAAGCTATCCTAGCCTAGCAGGTGAAATAAAATAACAAAAATAATAGTTATTCACCTACCAAATGAAGGCATTATTGAAATTTCTGAACGAGAAGGGATTTTTGAGTGTAATTAAACACCGAATCTAGTTTACCGCATACTATGCAGTCTACTTTACTGCACTTTTCCACACTATGCGGTAAAATGGTCATGACCAACGGTCACATTGAATGTGACATGACGGTCATGACCGTCATGACTCGCTGTCATGCGCGCTCGTCATGACCCACTAACATCACTGCATGTACCTGTACCTAAAAACAAAATACATTGATATAATACCTCTAAACATCTCATAAGGCAAGGCAACAGTGGTCGTGTGGGGTGACGCACTCGACTACATGGGAAACGTTGATGGTAAACCGGGTGCAAATCCTGGACAGATCGAAACTCGGATCGAAAATTATTTTCGGTCGGACATTTAGTGGCTGCATAGGGTAAAGTGCAAATTAATAAAACAACAACAACAAAGACACCTCAGGGTTTTATAAACTTGAATTAAATAACTATAGCAGGGGTTGGAAATAATATCAAAAATAACCCTAGAACCTTCTGGAAACTTTTGAATGATAAACGTTAGCGAAATAGTGTTCCTAACTCATTGTATTTGAATGACTTTGAAGCTGATAGTTCTCAAGGTATTGTTGATTTATTTGCTGACCACTTTGCTGGTATTTATGATAATTCAGCCTGCAGTGTTCCTGATCATATCCTTGCAAGTCATGAAAATAATTACGTATGTGTGGGCACTATATCTATCTCCGAAGTTCGTGAAGCTATGAGTGGTCTGGCCAATACCTTCAGTGTTGGCCCAGACAACATTCCTAATGATTTCTTAATGAAAGGTGCCTTTACTATTGCGCGACCCTGGTACCTGTAATTTAATATCTCATTAGCTACAGCCGCTACAGGACAATTTCCCGAGTACTGGAAGAATAGTTTTGTTACCCCATCTACAAATCAGGTGATAAAAGTAATATATTGCTAATTACCAGAGGATATCAAGGCAGTCAGCCATTTCCAAACTATTTGACCTTTTAGTTTACAATCAGTTGCATCATCAGTGTGGCGGGCTCATTGTTGATGATCAACTTGCCTTTTCCAGTGGAAAGTCGGTTACTACAACTTTGATCACTTATGAGATCGATTTGTTGAGGGATTTGGAGGATAGATATCAGATAGACGCTGTGTATACTGACTTTTCCAAGGCCTTCAACAGAGTAAATTTCAAACATCTCTTAAGCTAGAAGAGCAAAGTCAGCAGAATCGAAAATCAATACATGGAACATTAAAGGGCTAATTAAATGCCCTAATGAGAAATTTTAGGCTCCTTGAATTTTTGCGAAAATGAGTGTTCTGCTAGCTTTAACTTAAGCCAGCAGAACATGAGCGAAAAAGTGACCAAAACAACAAAAATTGCAATTCCACTTGCACAGACATTTAAGGCTCATTTTTTTTTTTGTGAAAATGGAAAAAGCGCGATGCGTGAGTGATGTCGCCCAAGCATGGCAGAAAAACCTCTCAGACGGTGAAAATCAGTGTTCCGATAGTGCAGTTGTAGTGAATACATTAAAGGCTAATTAAATGCTGTTATGAGAAATTTTAGGCTCCGCCAATTTCATGGCTATTCTGCTGGCTTTAACCTAAGGCAGCAAACATGAGCGAAAAAGTGATCAAAACAACGAAAATCGCAATTCCACTTGCACAGACCTTGAAAGCTCATTAAAGGCTCCGGAAATGCACCAATCGCAAATTTCAGGCTCAATTACTCTTTTGATTTAGTGGGTTTGGGAAATTCTGATTAAAATTGTCAAGTATCCAAACTAACCAGGTTATTATTGCTAAGTTTAGAAATTTCTGAAATTCGCGATTAGTGTATTCCCGGAGCCTTTGATGAGCCTTGAATGTCAGTGCAAGTGGAATTGCAATTTCTGTCATTTTAGCCACTTTTTTGCTCAGGTTCTGCTGGCTTAGGTTAAAGCTAGCAGAATAGCCATTTTCGCGGAAACTAGCAGAGCCTAAATTTTCCCATTACAGCATTTACTTAGCCTCTGATGTATTCACAACGACTGCACTACAGGAACATTGATTTTCACTGTCTCACAGGCTGTTCTGCCATGCTCTGCCGACATTACCCATATATCGCCACTTTTCGCATTTTCACAAAAAAGTAATTGAGCCTGAAATTCGAGATTGTTGTATTTCCAGAGCCTTTAATGAGCCTTTAATGTCGGTGCATGTAGAACTGAAATTTTCTTTGTTTTAACCACTTTTTCGCCCATGTTCTGCTGGCTTAGGTTGAAGCTAGTAGAATAGCAATTTTCGCGAAAATTCAAGGAGCCTAAAATTTCTCCTTACAGCATTCAATTAGCCTTCAATGTATTCACTACGATTGTACTATCGGAACGCTGATTTTCACCATCTGAGAGATTTTTCTGCCATGCTTGGCCGACATCATTCACACATCGCGCTTTTAGCATTTTCACAAAAAAAGTAATTGCGCCTGAAATTCAATATTGGTGCATTTTCAAAGCCTTCAATGAGCCTTTATTGTCTGTGCAAGTGGAATTGATATTTTCGTTATTTTAACCACTTTTTCGCTCATGTTCTGCTAGCTTAAGTTAAAGCTAGCAGAACACTTATTTTCGCGAAAAATTAAGGAGCATTACATTTCTCATCGGGGCATTTAATTAGCCTTTAATGAGCCTTTAATGTTCCATGTATTGATTTTCGATTCTGCTGACTTTGCTCTTCCAGCTTAAGAGACGTAAATTTCAATATACTATTGGCGAAATTACAAAGTTATCGGTTTTCAAAGAAATTCCTTAAGTGATTGTCAAGTTTCTTGAAGGGGAGACGACAGAGAGCAAAATTTTCTAAGCATACATTTGGAAATGTTAGTGCATGCCGGTGTACCACAAGGGGGTCACCGAGGGGTGTTTCACCCACTAAATTTTGTACACCTACTGTATTTGACTGCATTGATTGCATCAAATATGATATTTGACCATTAACTTTTGAGCAATTTCTAACAAGATTGCAGGCTCCAAAAAACTACAACAGAAATATTATTTTAGATAGTCTTAACTTTGTAACATTACAGGATAGAAGACTACAGTTTAACATAATTTTTGTATACAAATTTTTAAATAATCGCATAATGTCCGCATCTACTTAGTCAAATAAAGATTACCGTTTCACAAAGAAATCTTACGACATTATGAGCCTTTCCACATTGATTATCATCCAACAAACTACGGTTGTAATAATTTATTTAATAGAGCTTTAAGTTATTTAAATGGTTATCCAAACATAGACGTTTTCAACACAGCAATGAACCAATTCAAAACAATTATTGAAAATATACTTTAATCTTGAAACCTAAAGATTTTGTAATATTTTTTGTTATACGATTAGTGGTCTTATTTCTGTCACACTTGTTTTCGGTTACAATTTGGTCTTGTATTTTCATTTAGAATTGTAATATGTTTGTAATGGGGTAATGGTAAATCATAAATATCCAAATCTGAAGAAAACTATCAAAGTAATCAACAACAAAATCAAAGCGTGCATAGTCATGGCAAGAAAAGCTCATGAACATAATTTACTAACAAATAACATAAAAACTCCAACTTAATTGATAAAGTAACCCAACAACCATTTGAAAACCACCAAGAAATTGCAGAATACTTTGCAGAGCAATTTGATAGCGTATACACATTATTGCATCAGAACACAATAACAACATCATATTCACAGCAGAAAAAGTAGAACTCCAATCAAATCACTAAAACCAAACTCTAGCCCACCGCTCGATGGAATCACCTCGGAAATCACAGAGTTTTTCTCAAAAATTGTGTACAAGTGAAAGACCCATTGTCTCACATGCAGCATGCTCAACACCAATATGAGCACCCAGAAACTATTAGAACGTTTTGATATGAAACATTGTAAACCAAGGAAAATGGTGAAGAAGAATCGAATACTATTTTTCCATATGGAGAATCGAGAAACTGTTGTAGCTTTAATATATATTATCTGTGTTGTGTCCATAAAATTGGAAAACCCGACTTATATTGATTGTGCAAAGGTCAACAGAATACTTCGTTACCTGAAAGGCCCATTAGAGGTGGGTTTGTCCCACAAGCTTGGTGTACAAGACAACATAGAAATATTTAGCGACTCAGATGAAACAACTAGTCAGTCAACATCAGGAGTTATTTACATGAGCCAAAGACGAGCCTAAGTGGCACTTTCAGAGATAGTCGTCACAAGTGAAGCTGGAACAGAAATTATTTGGAAGAAGTGACTTTATGAAGAAATTGATTCACTTAAATCAGTCTTATAATTGAATGTTGATAATGAAGCAGCCATTCGTTTGTCCCAGAATTCCACAATAGGACTAAACACATACATATAAGACACTCCTTTGTAACGAGTTAATTCAAGAAAATTCATTGAAAAGTAAAAAAGTTGCATCTGAATTTTACCTAGCTGATGTTATGACAAAACCGCTATTCAAGCCTAGATTGGAGAAGCTGTGATGCGAGAAGGTACTGGCATGACCAAAGATTTCAATGAGGGAAGGTGTTGAAGTACTGTACAAGACATTCTCTGTTTGACTATCCTATATGTTCACTAGGGTTATTTATTGTTTACTTCTATGTGTTATTTCTGGTCTATATTTGACGATGAAAAATAAAAAGTTGAATCACAAGTATCACTTCTATTTTGTCTCTCTGAATCCTACTATAAAGGACTACTTTAACAACACCATCTTCATTGTAATCACATTACCTCAATTTTTTTTTAAGTTCAAAAGTATCTTTTTGGGAACCCAATCACCGCATTTTACAAGAGTCTCGAACAGCCAAAAATGCATCAGAGTTGGAGGCAAGCACAATGACCTAAACATAGTGGGACAAGACGGCTATCATCATACGTTTTTTGAAATGTTAGGCAACTGGTCATTTGGGGATTATTTTAAAGTATGTAATTTCAATCAGCTTGACCAAATTTTTAATTTTAAATATATAAAATAAAGCATATTTCAGGAAGATGCCTGTAAAATGGCCTGGAAATTGTTGACACAAGTTTATAAAATTCCTCCTTCTAGATTGTATGTCACATATTTCGGAGGAGATGAAAAAATGAGGCTTAAAAGTGATATGGAAACTTTTGATATTTGGAGAACTATTGGGTAAAGAGCAATTAAGTTAAATAATTAAATAGTAATTTTTAGCTGGTATATTTTAGAGTAAAAGAAAACAGAATACTGCCATTTACAGCTAAAGATAATTTTTGGGAAATGGGCATTACAGGTCCATGTGGACCATGTACAGAGATCCATTTTGATCATTTAGGAACTGTTAGTCGTTCTAATTTTGTCAATAAGAACTTGCACGATTTAACAGAAATATGGAATTTAGTGTTCATTCAATATAATAGATTACCAGATGGTTCTATAATCTCACTTCCCAAAAAACATGTTGATACTGGCCTGGGTTTGGAAAGATTGTGTTGTGCTTTACAAGGAAAATCAAGCACATATGATACAGATTTGTTTGATTATCTTATAAATGCCATAGAAAAGGTAAGTATTTGATAGTAGTTGTATTTGTTTTATTGTGATTTAAATATTGATAGAATTGTAGTAGTATTCCAAAATATGCTGGAAAATTTGGCGAAAACGATTGGAACAATGTGGATACATCTTACAGGGTTTTGGCTGATCATTTAAGAATGCTTACTGTGTGTTTAGCTGACGGGATTATACCAGAGCAAAAGTAATCATTTGTCTGCTCAATTAATAGTTATTTTTATTGTGAACTTTTCTATTTTCAGTCAAAAACTTAGAAGAATTATAAGAAAATGCTTTTTGTTGAGTGAAACTGTATTTGGGAAAGAAAAGGGTTTAGTTAAAGAGCTTTCCAATTATGTTGTTGAGAATCTTGGAGATACTTATCCTGAAATGGAAAAAAATGCTTATCAGGTAAGAAGTTGAAAATTTTACACTTTTTTTGATAACTATTAAACCTGGCCAAGTAAATCTGAATATTATTTTGCAAATTATGAATTTTTTTTTAGGTTCATCAAATATTAGATTATGAAGAAGAAATCTACAATTCAATAAGATTGGCAGCCAAAAAAGACTGGCAAAAATTGGCCAGTTCGGAGAAAAATCTTCCCAATATTGATCACTTAGATATAACGCCAAGCTTTATAAAGGCTTTTCGTGAATTAAATGCTTTAAAGCCTCTTGAAATTGATGGTGATTTGGCTCATAGGCTTTACGATACTCATGGTTTTGATTCGGAAGGAATAGAACAGCTTGCTCAGGTTTTAAATATAAAATTTAGTCCCAGTACTTTCACAGAAAAAATGGAAGAAATTAAGTTAAAGTCGAAAAGTGGCAGGCAAATTTCGATGAATCCTATAGTAAATGATTTAGCAAATAATTTGGAAAAGACTGACGATTTTGAGAAATATGCTTATAATACCAATTATGAATTTTCAGAAATAGAAGCAAAAGTATTACAAATAATTGAAAAAGACAATCTAGTAAATAAAATAAAAAATGGCACATCTTGTTCTTTATTACTTGATAAAACTAATTTATATTGTGAAGCCGGAGGCCAAGAAGCTGATAGAGGCAAAATAAAATTTCAAAATTCCGTTTTCAATATAGAATTGGTTAAAAACATAAATGGACTTATTTTCCATAAAGGCTTCTTCAAAGGGGATAGCCTTGAAGTAGGTTCAACAGGCACTGTATCAATTGACAGAGATTTCAGACTAGGCAATATGCGAAATCACACTAGCGCACATCTTTTAAATGCAGCCATAAAACAAATTAAAACCGCAACTTGCCAGAAATCTAGTAAAGTTACACACCAGTATGTTAATTTGGATGTTTCTGTATTCGGACCGAAATTGAATTTTGAGGATATTGTTAAAGTTGAAGAGATTATTAGTAAAGTTATAAACGATAAATTGGAAGTAAGGGTTAGTACAACAGATAGTCAAGGATTGTATAGTTTTGATCAAATCACACTGATTCCTGGAGAAGTGTATCCGGAAAATGAAATTAGGGTTATTGAAATTGCAGATGGATCTGAATTTGTTTCTAGGTAGGTGATTGATAAAATTTGTTTAGAAGACTAATTGGATTGTTTTAGGGAACCATGTTGTGGTACTCACGTACATAACACTGCAGATCTTGAAGATTTTTGTGTAGTGAGCCTTAAATCACTAGGAAGAAGTACGACATCTTTGCATGGTGTTAGTGGAGATAGAGCTAAACTTGCTAGAAAAAATGCTGAAGAATTAGCAGAAGATATTGAGGTTTTTAAGAAGTCTGTTGCAGAGCATTTAGATACAGTAAGGCTTCAATTTTTTTTATATAAGCTTCCAATATCCCAGGCTTATCAATTTTAGCCAGATATGTTAGAAATGGGCATTTTATCTTTAAAGAAAAGACTAAATTTTGATATCAATGAAAGTTCTATATTGCCATATGTCTATAAAACACAAACTTTAAAAGAACTGAATAATATTGGCAAGCAAATTAAGGACAAAGGCAATGACGATTTGAAGTAAATATATTTTTTTTTAAATAATATTCAGTGATAATGTTGATTATTATGTTCAGGAACTTTATTTGTATGGAAATGCAAGACGCCCTAAAAAGCAATATAGAAAAAACAAATTCAAATACAAAATATTTGGTACATTATCTAAGAAGTTCCATGATGCTTGAATCAGTACCATTGCATGCTGCTACAGCAATGTGTTCCGAAATGCCGGTTATCATAATAGCTTATTCAGATGATATGGTTAAAGCAAGGTGTTGTGTTCCTAAGGTAAGTTGAAGCGCTCCAAAATATTCATTTAAATAGACAATTTTGCATTAGGATCTCCAATCAGATGATTTCAATGCCGAAAATTGGTTAAAAGAAACTGTTGCTCCAATTTTCAAGAGTCGAACGACACCGCAAAAGTTGCAAGATGGCGTGTTTGTTAGTAACATGAAACCGCAGAAGGTTCACGTGCAAGACTGGCACCATTTGTTGGCTGAAAGTATAGAAAGTGCCAAAAAATATATTAATGAAAAGATTTAATTTTGTTACACAATTATTCTAGTTTGTTTTAATTTAACTGATTAAATTGTATATTTTGTTTATCAAGTTTATTAATTTAAGAGAAATTCCAATTACATATTACAGATTGTAAATGGAAAACAATTATTATTGTTGTGAGTGTCTGTTGAGCACTGATGACTCTAGTCTAGTCAGGCCATGAAGTGATACCGCGAGAGGTAATTGAGTTTGTAGTGAGTACAACAATGGTTTGTTGGATACTAATTTTATTCAAATAATTACAGCTATTTATATCAAACTAATCAATACAAAAACCTTATATACATTTATTACCATCAGTATTTTTCTGCTTAGTCCGTAATTGCTGGAAGTTAAAAACTGGCCTGGTTCTAGCCGGTACTGCCGATGCTGCTAACTCAACAGATTCCATCGGGTAGAAGAATCGTAACTTGGATTACATTGAATATTCCCAAAAAAAGGACTCCTATGTCTAATTATATTATTGATTAGAAATTCTGCCCGGACTCGTGCAAGGCGTGGGCATGCAAACAATATGAGATGTTTCAGTTGCTGGAACGGGATCTTCGCCAAACAACTCTAGATAGTTCTTCTCTAACTGCTCCAAACTATGGGTGTTGTACTTTGAGGTTGGAACTGGTGTAGCTTCTGGGAATACGAATGGTAGGTCGGCTGTTGGAGTCACGGGCAAACCTAAGCTATGCGTTTTTATGTCTAGTTCGTTAAGACAAACTTCATAGAGGCATTGTGCTTTTTTTAACTTTTTTATTCGCCTCTGATTTCTATTTAATTTTCTGCGGGCCATTGTGTTGTTGAGTAAACTATCGTAGTAAAACTGGTAACGCCGTATTGTTTATGGCGTATTTTGATTATTTTTGCCAGAGGCCATTTGCTAGGGTTGATATCCTAATTTTTCATTAAGATTAGCTCTTCGCTTTCAAGCGATTTTCCAATGTTTTTCCACTTGTATCGTTGGTGCAAGTAATCTGACGACCATTTCTTCCATATATCCATCTTGATTTTTTTGTACTAATTTCCATATTTCAGTTAGATTAGAATTGATGGCTGTACTAACTGGGTCTGGTGGTTCCACAAGTGCCCTTCCCACCAAAATGTGCCCTGGCGTCAGAGGTGTTATGTCAGTGGGCTTATCGTTTAGTGGACACATCAGGGGTTGGGAATTAAGGCAAGCTTGTATCTGGTGCAGGAGTGTGGATAACTTTTCATACGTGAGGCAAGTGGCTCCTATCACTTTCCTCAGGTGGTATTTCATTGATTTTATCCCTGCTTTCCAGAGTCCTCCAAAATGGGGGAATGCTGGTGGGATGAAATGCCACTGGTTTCTGATACAGACAATATTGGATATTTTGACTATCTGCATAACTTCTTTTTGTAATGTTTTGCTTGCTCCGACAAAGTTTGTACCATTATCGCTGTATATGTGCGCGCAGCCGCCTCTAGGAATGTGTCTGCTAGCTAGGAATGTGTCTGCTGACATATCGCTCACAACTTCAATATGTATAGCTTCAGTGGAAAGGCACACGAATATTGCCACATACCTGTAGTGACGCGGAAATAAACCACCAAGAAAACAATTAAAGGTTCTGATTATTCTAAACAACTGAAGACCTAGGATCCAACTACCGAAAATTAATCAAGAATAACAAGGACTTACCAAACAATCATACCAGGAGAGATCATCACTTAGACAGCACGACCAGAAACTTCAATTAAAAATTATCTGAACATCGATATCCAGAAATTATTGAAAGCCGATATTGATTAATACATTGGAATGCGACTAAAGCAAAAGTTCATGGACCTTTTTTCAAGTACTTTCAACAATAACATTCCAAAGGAGCCGAAAATTTTCTAGAAGGATCAATAAATCATGCACGAGCCTATATGATGATACCCACTTAGCAAACCACTTAGCGACGCCCTTGATAATTAATTGAAAGGGGACCAAATACACTAATTGATCGGATGATTCAACCTCGAAAAATCGAGTTCAGAAACAATAGAGAAATTCAAGACAATGGAGGAACCAATGATATAGAAAGGCAACTTTGGCAGGAGAAAATGAGTGTTCGTGAAAGACCAGTGTCGGTTGAGTAATCAAGAAATAAGAAGTAATCGAGAATCGAGAGACCTGTGTCCAGAAAGTCAGAACTACGGCGTGAAAGATTTGTCGAATTAACCGAGAGAAGAAGCACGACGTGAAATAACAGCGCGAAAATATTATTAATTTTTTAATTATTATCTAATCTTGCCGATATCCAGTTTCTTCGTGCAACAGGGTATAATGGAATTTTCGGCACTTGCGACATCGCTCTGTGGAAAGACAGCGACTTTTAGCGTCATGTTTTAGACAGTTTGGGCACAACTTTCCTTCTTTTAATTGCTCTTAGTCTTGCAGTGACCGTCAAGGCTTGAAATTTTTGGCATAACTGAAGCTTGTGTGGTTGTTTGCAGTATGAGCATGTCGAGTTATTATGATGGCGTCATTCGAAGTTTCTTGTGAGTGAAACCTTTTCTGGATGAATTTCACCAACTTATCAATCGACTGTATTTCATGTGATGTGGTACGCCTAATGATTGTTCCTACAACCTGTTAGTCTCAGCATCCCATCTCCTAGTTATGATTTTGCTTATCATTGGACCCCACGAGGACAACAGACATGATTATGCCTGAAAAGCCTTTGCATCCTGATTACAGTAAAAATACATGGGCGGGTAGGTATTCCATGAAATCAAATTTGTGTACCCTTTATAAGAGAAACATTCTCTTACTTTTCCCAAAAATAGATAAAGAATTAATATAGTGAGACAAGACGTATGCATTATGCATACTTAGTTTTCTGATCCAAATAAATTTCTTCTCAATTGTAATTATATTTTTTTATTAAATACAATATCAACAAGCTCAACACTTATGCAGACATATATTTTTCACATTAGCCACAATATTTTTTTCTGTAACAATAAAGGCTAAGACCTTGTACAAGGATTAATGCAATGGTTTAATGCGTTATATTTAAATATTATTCTTGTCCAGTAGGGAACATTTTCCATTTATCTTGATAAGTCAGTAATATTGACAATAATTTTATTGTAAAAACAATAGCTTAAGTTGGAAGATTTGACCAGTTCAGTCATAATTACTTGGAAAGTTCCAGTTGGCGTATCGAGATATTTCATGAAAACACGTAAGTGTTGGAAGAACCGTGAATTTGCAAGTTATTTCACAAAATATTGTACTTTTTTTTTAAAGATAAATGGAAAATACTTTGCTTAACATTTCTAATAGTTAAAAAATAAATATCAAAAAATACTTTGCAGTCTTATAAGGTAACATTTTATAATAATTACACTGTATCTTTTCAGTGGCCACAATTTCAAATTTAATAGGTAGGTATTAATAACAAGACCGAATGGGATAAAAATATGGCTATTGTATTTATCTTAAATAAGGGTTTTTCTCTGCAATTTGATCCACTGGCCATTAATAATCTACATTTTCCTCCCAATTTCGAGAACATATGAGTCAGGGCAGCTAATTTTAGGTACACTTAGCAAAATAATTTTGTGGACGTATTTCCATCGGAGGCAACAAATTAAATGTATGGGTGGCAATCTATTTCATCATAGTACTATAATTAATATTCTAAAGCTTTTAAAATAAAAGTGTCTCATGATGGGCATTAATTAGGTATCTAAATACTAAATTACTATTGAAAGCATTCAGGTAAATAATTTCTATGTCAAGTACTCCACCGATTTTCAACACCGCTGATTTATTTGTTTGAATCAGATTTGAACATCAGCAGAAATACCAAATGGACAATTTGTTTGATGTTTATTTGATAAAATGAGTTAGATCCAGATCCTTAGGTCGGATCTTTCCAAACCTCTTTCAACAGCAAAATTCCAGTTTTTAGGGATCAGATATTTGTCAAATTTTTATATTGATTAATTATCGATGCAGTGTTCGACATCTAGAAATCGCCTGAATGAATTACATTTTTCTAATGCAACTATAAAAATACAGTCTTATATCTACTGTGACAAACTAGTGTATTATAAAAAAATAACATGAAACAACCCTTATGCAGCTATCAACATTATTATTTTTACTTTCTAAATTTTTATTATGTTGCATTTCACGACTTTTAATGATGGTTAAACTAATGAATGAATTAAATGGATGAAATATTTGTAATAAATACTGTTAAGCTTCTTTTGAGCCACACCTAATTCTACTATTTTGTTGACTTACATAAACATGTGTTTTACTCTAAAAATCTTATTGCATTAGTTTTATTGACACGCTAATATTAAATCTCATTGGTTAAATTTGTACTTGGTGACCAATTAATATTAGAGAACTAGATGAATGTTAATTTTTTTTAGTGAAACATTCAATACTATTCTACATCTATAATACATGTATGTATTTATTTGCAAGTTATTTTTATATAGCTGATATTCTTGTCATTAAAGTTTTGTACCTCAGAAGCGATTACTATTGTATCTAAAACTATAAAAATCAGACTCAACAATTTTTACTATGTTCACTTAACAACAAAAATGGGGTTCGTTGTCCGATTCGACATTCCTTATGGTTGGTTGTTTTGTTTAGACTGGACGCTCTTCCTAATGTCTTCTAATTGTATTAACTATTCAAGAAAAATATTGAAATATTATTTTTGTTACAAAATATATAGGGCTAGGCTAGTTTAAGCTAGTTTACAAAATAATCAGGAAAAACATCAGGATTTTGAACATTTAGTTCAACCATAAATGAATACAATGGATAGATACTATTCATTCTGCCTAACCCTGTACCTATTGTAAACTTACCTTTTCAATGGGAATACAAGACAGTTCACCTCCTCCGCATTGCGGTGGAGGAAGAGGAGTAGAAGGTGTAACAGCAGCACCTTTTGAAGCTTTTTCTTGAGCATCTCTAGCTCGTCGCTCTTTAAGCTTCAAGGAAAAAATCGCTACGGATCTGGCTCTTTTCATTAGACTCTGCTTGACGCGGGTTTTCTTCGCGGCCAGCTCTTCTGCTGAGAAATAGAATTATTAGTGAATAATTGGGGTGTTACAGGGCTCAGACTTCCTATTATGTTTAAAGGAGACTGTACATGTTATAATATCTCAATATTCCTTACAATAAGAAACCAACAATACTTAAGTACCTAATTTGAAAATTTTCGGTTGCATCGCATATGCTTGAACTCCAATAATATTCGTAGCAGATCGGTAAACAGCATAAAAAAAAGACAAAAATGAAAAAGACTATTATAAAATATAATGATGGTAAGAAAGGTTGGAAATCAAGAAGAGAAGAGAACAATTGAAAATAAGGACTAAATAAATCTGATTATTATTATGTCCAGAACAATACTTAGTATAATCTCGATATTTGGGAACTTCAAAACTAAATATTTGGATGCAACAATTGATTAATCCATTTGTCTGCTAGCCTGATATGTAACGTAAGTGGATGAAAATTCACAGATGAAAGAAATGTAGCTATTTTGCAAACTTTGAGTCTATTGTGCAGTAGGCATTATCATTTTATGGCGCAAGTAGCGCAACCCAACCTAAGGAAATAAAGGAAACGCTTTCAAAAATTTGTAGTTTTTTCAAGGATAAAAGTGCCTTTAATATTATGTTTTTACAGTTACCTTTTGCTGCAGCTTCATCCGCCTCCTGACTGGAAATACTTCTTGCACTGTCACTCAAAGTAGGATCTGTGGGAATTATAGGAGCGCGAATTCTGGGACCTGAATGTTCCGGGGGTGAACGAGGTCTTGGAGGCCATAGTGGACTCGTTCTGTGTAGTTCAGAGTCTGAACTAGATGCATCCTAAAAAATGGATCATGAAAATATAATAGAGAATCTTCTATTATGTAATTGTTTTTTCCCATCTGCCTGAACAGATACAAATGGAGAAGCACATGCTTAGTTTATGTACAACACAGGGATTTCAAAATTTAACAGAGGGTGACGAGACATATAAAGGGTGACAAAACACTGCTGGATTATTATTTGAAATTATTTTCTAATCCAAAATGCCTTGTCACAACATCGAAAGGCACAAAATAGTTAATAGTGACATTAAGAAAAGAGTAAACAGCGATCACACCTTTGTACCTTATTTGGAATATCCTTTATTCTACTTAGAACCTGCTTGGCAAGCAAAGAAGAATTATTCTATTATTATAACTTTCTAAATACATAAATAATAGTACCTTTGGAGATATGCAGTCAGTACTACGATGTACCTCATTTTCTTCTTTAAGTTTTCGTGCCCATTCTACTCCACCACTTGGACCTATAGTCAAATGATGACTTGGCTCACCCTAAAATATTCAAATGGTGTATTTCATAATAAATTAAACATTCACTTACTACAAGATCAGATGGCGGCACCCACTCCTTCGATTTCCTTGGCCTAAACGGTGGAATTTGCTGAATACCAGTTATGCCCATAGAAGTTCTTTGAACTGAGGTGATAGAACTTTGCGATGTAGTGGGAGATGGCAAAGGAGACACATGAGTGGATAAATTATCCGGTTTGCAAATAGTGTCACGATTCTCTTCGGATTGTTTTGCCTCTTCAGCCTGTACAAGACTGTGGCTAGGCGACACAGAAAACCTGCCAATAGTTTTTGCTTGGATTTCTTCCGGTGTTGGTGTAGCGGTGTAATTAGCCGTCCTATTAGAATCTCGTCTAGCCCATTCAATTTTAGCCATTTCTGTAGCTAGCCAGCCGGGAATATCAGGAATTGCGCACGTGATAATAAATCGAATCACTAGCATAATATGCTCTAGAGCTACGATTAATAAAATCGTTTGCGTAGCTGTCATATCTGGAAACATTCTATGAACTTGTCCGGAAAGACCAATCAAGGCACAATTAACTAGTACCGCCATGATGCTCATATATTCCATACAATTCTGGATTAAAGTTATAAGTAAAATTATTGTAAAATTATTATACCAGTAGAGCTTACCTGCCAGGTTCCTATATTTGGTACCCTCTGTCCAAAAGGCCTTTGGCAAACATAAGCCAATTTGAATGCATCACTTCTAATTTCTACCAAATTATTTAACATGGCACATAAAGCAGCTGGTGGGAAAGCTGACGAAAATAGAATAACGTAGCCTAGTTGGATCGTCATTTCCAAATAGTCAGCAAATGTACCATCATACTGAAATAATTGAAAATACAAGAGTTTGTTTTTATTAAAGATGTGTAGAATCGTAGAAAACATGCTTAGAATTTAGGGTATAGAAAATTTGCAGTAGGCTGTCAGAAATCAAATAGAGAATCGAAGTCAGTATGAGAAAAGCAATTCTATGAAAAAATAACTCATATTTCCGAAAAATGTGTTTCTATGAGCTACAATTTGTGCCATTTCTATATTTGACTTACCACCGGCTTGAACTATATAAATTAAGAACAATAAATATTAATATTTCCATTTCCAATAGGATTTGGTTTAATTAAAATTGACATACCTTATACAATGAACTTTCCAATTCAGCCTGGCTCATGCTTCTTTTGGCAGCTGGTGGAACTTCACTATTATCGTCGTCCTTAGGAGTTTCTGAGGACTTGTCTGTTTCTTCTTGAGCCTGATCAGCTTGCCCAGGTGGAGGTTTTGGACACAAAGGACTCAGGGCGCCCCAAAGTTCAAAGCTCATTTTGGCTAATCTAAGATGTTCAAGCACATAGGGCAGTACAGATTCTTTTAGATTTCCTATAACTTGTCGTGAAATTAACAGCGCTGCTAATTGCTGCAAATAAAATTGTAGGAAATTCTGATATTTTGCTTATACAATGTTTACCTCTTTCAATCTAGCCTGGTCTTGTAAGTAAAAGGCGATGTAAAACAAAGAGAGGAATGAATTGACGAATTGGAACTGAAATTAGTAAACAGTAGTTGTAAAAAGTTGGTGTTAAAAATGCAAAACTGTAAAGTGCGCAATATAACTTAATATTTCATCTAACAATATGGTACCCTACCTAAAAATATTTTGCCTATAAAATCAAAATTATCTTGAAATAAGCATATAGTATATTTAAGTACAAACCAGGGCAACTTTGCCGATCAGATGATTTTCATACTTCGTTTCAAGGCGGTAGTTCTCTGAGCAGCAATGCAAGAAAACATAACTTAGTACTAGACTATGCTTTCTATTTTTTTTCTACCATATTCTATATGTTAGACTAATAGGCCTCTACATCTATGCTTATAGTTGTTTTTGGATAAAATTAAAATCCACTTACCCTTGTCGTTTAACCAGATTGCAATTTTGAAATAAGCCTCGTCCATCAGAGAAATCACAACGGCCAACATAATTTTTGGTATGTAGCCTAACCAAAGAGGAAAACCCCTATAAGTCAAGAATGCATCCCACCAATCCTGAAACAACCTAAAATTAGTTCTGAACAAGTTTTATTGTCCCTAATCTTACCTGTATTTGTAAGGATATTATCATGACAACAAAAACTGTGATCAAAGACACAGCTATCATGGGCACAGAGACACAATATCGAAAAATATGTCTTTTCCATGTAGGATGATTGGGTTCAAGCCTTCCCGTAACCGCACTGTGTTTCAGAGGGCCCTGGTAACAAATAATAACATGTCGCGGTAGCTACAACGACATGTTAGAAAAAACTACATGAAAATGCCACTAATGAAAAGCTGAAATCAGGACGAAAAGGCTGCAATCAAGCAAATTAATTAAATTTGCACAAAGCATTTTGATTAAAAAGAAATTAGGGGCATAAACTGAAAATAGAATCCTCTAAAGACTTACCCTGAACAAAGGTCTCGGATCCGCTAACAAATCGTCCCTTTGATCCAATGTTCCCCAACGAAAAGCCAACTCTGCAGAATACCTTTTCCAAGCTTGAAGATAAGTTGTTACCCAGACTACGTTAAATATTGAAAACATTACATATCCAACATCTTGGATGGTTTGGTGTCTACTTGTACAAGTCAACTACAAAGAAAAAATATGTTTTATTTCAACTTTAGGGATTATTTTATGTGCTTACCCAGAAAAAGAAACCCACAACAGCCGGAATGCTCAAAGCCGTTGTATAATGTCCCAACCAAGCAAAGTACATTCCAATTTTAACTCCAAAATATTCAGTAATTTCATCTAAAATTTAATTTGTTAAATTTTATTTAAAAAAAAAATCAATTTTTTTCTTACCAAGTGGTTGCTTCGCAAAAATATCTTGAACCCAACATTGTTGCAACTTTTCTAGCACCACAGGCTCATGGATTGGGAAAACTTGTGAAATAACACCCGCAGTCAAACATTTTGGTACTTAAAATAACAAGAAACTGTTAATATAGACCTTTGACCATAATCAAATATTACCCATTGGTTGTCCTTCCAATAAAGTCACGTTAGGAATAGCTTTTAAATCATCTTTCCTAGCCCTGACACTTTCCAGCAATCTTAAAACCAACCATTGCCGTTCTTCTGTAGTAAAAAAATGCTCCTCATCTTCAGATCCATCATAAGAATCATAATCTTGCACAAAAAACTCTTTGAGACCACCACCTTTAGCTTGTTTTAATGCTTTCGACAAGTGATATTCTTCTGCAGCACGCCGAAGACTGTTAAGAGAAAACGTCCATGATGAATATTAATCATTAAAATTAAACTTACAGTTGTACGGAAGCGGTCAAATAAAAAGCATTGCTCTGGGTGGAAGCATGATGTCTAACATGTACAGTTAATCCGGACGATTGCTTTATCCTGGCAAGAAGCCACAATAAAAACTGGTCTTCCGCATTGGGAGGGAAACAGACCACCACATCACAATTTGGTGTTGAGACACGTTTTAGCCAGAGCCGTTTCGGGGCTAAATAATGGCCTGCACATGGGATTTTCTTCTTTAGTAACTCGGAAGCTGGAAAGATGAGATTTATTTAAATTACATAATGTAGGATGAATTTTTGTACCTAGGTATTATGCTGCAATGCATTTTTTTCTATAAAGGGTATTTACAGTATTTTAAAAGGTAAAGAAGCTCCTTACTCTTGATCTATTTGAATAGATTATAGCTTCAGTTTATAGGGACCATTATACCTATACTCACTGATGGCAATGTATCTGATTGTTTAACTCTGCTGTTATCAAGTGAACCAGTCTAAACAAATTAATATTTTTTTTTATAGCAAAAGACTGATTAGACCTGTAAGTTACATACCATTGATACATTTTAAGCAAATTTAGGGTATTCTACCTACCTACTTTGCAAATTGTTATAGGCAACTGTTGTATTGTTATGAACTTTTCCTTGAAAAGTTCTTTTCTCGGAACAAAGTTCCAAAAAATCGGTTTTATTCAGAATAATACTATACATTCAACTTAACAATATAAACCTTTAATGGGCATGGAAAGAAGCTTTGTGTTTTGTGCGAAGTTCACTTTGATTAATTCGAAACGAAACAAAAGTCTAAAATAAAAAGCTTACTTTGTTTCGCTCGCGTAGTTTAATAAATCTTTCTATGTCGAAATGAAATGAAGAGATTTGGCCACATTTACACAAGTGGAAGTTTGCCAGCAATTTCCAAATAAAACATATTTGGCCAATGGTCAAATCACTGAAAGGTTATTTCTAAGTTATTGCCAAATTTTTGAGATAAGCTTTGGAACCCTTACTTAGATATTCTGGCAACTTCTTTATGATTATTAGTGCAGCCAAGCATTGAAATATTATGAGAAATTGGAACTGAATTTGGCATATTGCCAGAAAATAGTAATAGGTGTATAGTATAAAGTATAGGTTTTGTCTTAACACAGATGGTATTTTAACGAAAATACTGTTATTAAGATGGTTTAAATGTAAAATGTACTAAGACTCCAATATAGAACTAACGCCAGTGAGCTATTATAAAGAAAGAAACATTAATGCTAATCAACTATTCCAAGGAATTTATACTTTATGGCACGTGATGTTCAGGATTGGTTCCCAAATTCTTGAAACTTTCGACCAATGGTTTACTGAAGATTTCCTTCTTTCCATATATCATAAGCTTGCCTTTTTCAACATTTTTTTTCTTAAATGTTGTTCTTAGCCTTTATTTACATATTACAAACTCTACAGATTGACATCCAATTACACAGTATCATAATGCAGTTCTCGTGTCCTTTTGGTTTTTGAGTCTTGATTTTGTTAACTTTTTTTTCAGAGTCGTTGTTGAAGCAAAAGGGGGTGGTTCTGGTTCTAAGGTTGTATTTTTGTCCAATCTGTTGAATTTTCTATCTGTAATGTATGAATGAGTGATTCTGATTGCTTTTACTACAAACCAGAAACCAGTTCATAGAGATGTTAGCTATTACAGGAGACATTATGTGACTGTGGTGAGCCCTTGGGTAGTCCAATGTTTTTGGGTTAGTTCAATTTGTTATTTTATTGGTAGGAATTTTCGAGATATCCCAACAGAGCGATATAATGTCCTCTATTAAAGGGTTTATTAGTTCTTTTCATTATGGAGTATCGCCTCTTTCTAGCTTCTTCTTTGATTATATTCATTACTGCGATTTGTATTGGCATAGGTTTCTGAGACTACTCTCTTCATTCTTGATTAGTTTTTGCGTTTTTTCTTTTTCAAGTTTATTTCTCATATCATTTGTATTCTTCTGCTGTGCCTACAGTGTCAAAGGTTGGAACTATTACTATGATTAGTGGGTAGTATTAGGGCAAATAGTGAACGGAAAAACCATAGACGGCAAAACCGATGAAACTATTAATGTGTTTAACAATACATTTTCAATAACGTAACACAGTTCGACTTCAGTGCCACCAAATTGATTGAGTTTGTATAGCAACCTTCCAAAAAAACCTTATTGTCAAATGCTGTCTCCACTTTCTCTGCAGTAAAATCCACTGCTGTGATTTCTTGTGCATTATAAAGTTCATCTGAAATCTTGAGGATTTCTTCCACAAGTCTAGTGTAAACACCTTTTGAAATTGGTTAGCAAACTATTCAGATATGTTCGTATTATCACTTATAATCGAGTTATTTCTTCCTCAAGTCTAGTGTAAACACCTTTTGAAATTGGTTAGCAAACTATTCAGATATGTTCGTATTATCACTTATAATCGAGTTATTATATTAGTATTCTTTAACCTGAACTTTGAATGCATTGAGCGCTTTATGTACGCATAAAGTGTTTGTCTGAAGTGTTTGCTAGATTGCCCTCATAATCACCTCTAGCTTGATCAATGCACATTTTTGTTTTGTTTCCAATAGCTTGCATAATTTTCATCAGTTCCATTTAATCTGTATTTGTCCCATAGGTCCCCCTTTTTTTTTCAATCTTCCTGGAAACTTGCCTAGTTAGCCGTGGTTTGTTTGGATTGGATTTCTTTGGAATGAGTGGTATACATTGCTCTATTGGTGATGTAACTATGCTCATGCACGCTGTGAACAGCACCGGACCGATCACCGAACCCTGCACGACGCCACTGGTTACCCTATGGGGACTGGAAAACTCTCCATTAACTCTAACTTGAAAAAATCTATCTTCTAGCAATCTTTGTTCTAGCAGATCCTTGATCAAGGCAAGCAACTTTCCTTTAACTCCAAAGTGCTCTAATTTCATTAATAACAGGTTATGTGGGACTTTGTCGATGCAGGGATGCAGGATCTTTTAAAGTTATAGTTGATACCTTGGAATTCAAGTTTCGACCTATATACAGTTTTTTTGGTGAATCCGCATTCGCAAGACCATTTTCATACTTTCTCTGGGCATCAAGCAACTTCTGCTCAATTTTGCTACTCTTTAGTAAGCTTGATAATTGTTTAGTGTTTTATTTGTTTTAAAGTTATCCCATAATCTACGTTTCCAATATATTTCCCTGAATAAATACTGGTTTATCCACGGTTTTTGTGGGTTAGTTTTTACTGGCTTGACCGGTATCCGAGCCGGTATCTATTTCTCCACTGCATCTTTCATAACGCTCTGGAAGTTCTGAAATTGTGGATCAACTGTCTTGTAGGTAGCTTGCTCTCTAAGGTTTTTGTCCTATTCTATGGTTTTTGTAAGTTTTTCTATAAAGATGAGGTTTTGAGCTTCTGTCATGGCCTTTTTTGATCGGTGGATGCAAGCTACTATCATTTCAATACCTACTTTGAATTTTAATTCTCAACCAAATAGATTCTACGGGTGTATATGTGTACCAAATTGCTCAATGAGGTTTCCAGTGACTAAGTTACCTGTTATCGAATCTCTAACGAACATAGAAATCCTACCAACCTTTTTTCCTTTTCGATCTTCTCTGAAAAGAGTATATCCAGGGAGAGTGATAAAGGTTGCCTGGTAGATCTTTATGGAGCCATTTTTCTGTGAGTAAAATGAATATTGGCTCATATTGCTGGATGCTTGCCTTCCACATTCTTTGTTTCCACTCATCACTCATGCGACTTTAGTTGAGATTGCATTGAGACTTGTGTAATAAAAGGAGACTTCAATGCTATTCAGTTTTTTGACAGAAGTTTAATGATTTTATGTGTAACTCTGAAATACTTAATTTTTAAGTTAGATTCACCCTCGTTAGTCACTTTTCTATTTCTTTTAAAAGATTTTTAATGAACAGTCTTTGGGGTTTCAGTTTGGTTATATTTGATATGAACTCTGTCTTCTAAGGTGGTTCTCTAGTTTAAGGATTTCAATGGCCTTTCTCTTAGACACAAAAATAACCCGGAATAAGCAGGCATTTATTTTTAGTTTGACGTCCAAGGCGGAAAACCTTCAGTTTTTTTTTATTTTTACATCAGGCTTAAGTTTTTTAATGATATTACGGATCTTTTTGTGGTGCTTTTGATTTCCTCCTCAAGGAATATAGCCATTGCAGCTTGCTGTACACCAAATATAAGTAGTTTGCGCTCTTCGCTCTCTTTCCTGTATCTACAGGATTGTTGGCTCAACCAAGCATTGGTTAGTGGTTATATCATCCGTCCTGGTTTTTGAAAATTTTGGACTTTTTCTTCCAGTTTCCTGTAGTTGTCTTGAAGAGTTTCAGCTTTCCTTGTGATCTGCGTAACATCTGCATAACGTTGTGGGGTTTTATTGAAATTTGTTTTTAGCTGTTTAATTTTGGAATGTCTTTAGAAGCTGTAGCCTTAAGTCTTCATTTTAGATACCAGGAAGTTGTTCTTCTTTATATAGAAGTCTTGATGGGATGTGCACCACAGTTCTAGTGCTTATTAGGCTGGCTGTTGCTTGGGGAGTGAATCATTTCTATTTTCTGTCATGAACTTCCCAATTCTCTTATGCTTCACATTGAGCTTTTTAAATAGATATATTTTCTTAAATATGGACTGGTGTGTTCTTCTTCCTATGTGTACCTACTCTTTTAAAAAAGAAACTTTGAAGATACGTGGGAGGAATGAGGAACAGTAGCTGTAAACTATCTGCCAGAATCCCAAGAAGTATAAATTTCTCGGGATTATTCATCATAATTATTAGCTCACTTGAACTTATTTCAGGAAATAAAGGTGATGGGTAAAATAAATGTGATGGGTAATGGCTTCTAGAAAATTCAGCCTCATTAACAACACCCTCTTAGGGCTCTCAGAGTTATGGAGAAAAAAAATCTCCTAACATTGGGGAAAAGTAGAAAACCAGTTCAGATTCGTCTGAAGCTCAATGGTCTGAAATCAACGCAGAAACATCAACAGCAAATGCTGCAGAAAGAACTTCAGGATCTTATAGGATCTATGGCATCCAAATTGATTTATAGGCAAGATAAACAAAATAGGTTTCAAGATAGAACCTTGGACCCTGAGGGACTTCAGTTACATAATGTCAATATCTTCAACTTGATAAACAAATATCGCTATTGTTAATCCGCCAAAAACGATTTAGTAGTAAAAAGAGCTCTCAATAAAGCCATATTGTTCAATGATCATATTTATTCGAAGATACATTTTCTTACAATGTCTATCAATTATTGATAAAACAAAAATGTATTTTATGTAAAAAGCAAAAACCGGTCTGCAGTCTGTGGACTGAAAAAATCTCATGGAAAATCAACATGTTAAAAGATATTTAGGTAAAAATGAAAGATTCAATCTAAAAGTACAATCAATTAGGTATTCAAATTGTGGCAAATCATTCAAAATATCTTTCTTACCTTGTCCCAATGTTTGTTTAGCACATTTTATAAGTTTCCTTCGTCGAATCGTCCCGATACCGTCAGATTTATCTGCCGTATCGGCATTTTCCTCACTTAATTCCGACATTTTCCATCAACGACGTTTCTATTCGTGATTGCTGTATAATTTAATATTAATATTACAAGATTATAATCAAAAAATCTTTAACTTAGGTGTTTTTCACCCCCTAGTTTTTACTCTTTTCGGTAGTAATAGCGTTTCAGCCATTTTCAACATGCCAGAAACAGCTGTTATACGGTTATTGATGTAAAGGGGGTGAACTAGGATGGATGGGGGTTGTTTCTCCCTTTGCTTCTTGTTCGATTTTTGCTATAGATAGTGCACGTTTCGCTTTAAAGGTGTCACTACCAGGAAACCAAATGAAAAAAGTCCTCGTAATAGCAGAATTTTCCCATTTTTTTCCCTATTTTGCGGATACTTGATTGTAGAAATTGTATCAAGAGTGCAAAGTGATACTTTTGTCGCCCAAGTAGAAAATGCTAACGTGCAAATGGAGTCTCAATTTCTTGAGCGAGAACGGCATACTTTGCTTTCAGATTTTTTTTTTTTCGAACATATTTTTGACTGGTCCACCTTTATGAATGGTACCTCTCTATTAGAAATTAAGTCATGAATAGAAACTTTTTTTATTCTTACATAGTTAAATTAGAAGTATGTAGTTTTATTTTCAAAAAACGATTATTATCACAAAGTATCTCAACACCCTTTATTAAAACAATAAGTACAATTTAAGTAAATATTCATATACTTAATAAGATAAATTACAAGCAGTTTTGCAGTTTAGATGATTGCATGTTTGCTCTATATTATTAAACTTAAACAGGGTAACTCGAGTAAACTATTCATTCGGGCCCAAGGCCTCTTCCAAACAGGATATCATTATAAAAGTTGCAGAAATCACTAAAAAAATTCTGACTGCTGCCTGAATGATTTTCATCTAGAATGTGTGTTATCATTGAAAAATTGTTGAAAATACCAAAAAATATAGATGACATGCATTATACAGTCAAGATAGGTAATGAACGCAAAATCTCTCTATAAGTCTTAAGTTATTTTGCTTGAAAACTTGAATTGATGATGCTTTGATACAAATAATTTTTGGGGCAGACATTTATTATTTCTGCAATGAAACTCTCAAGTTGGTCTTTAAAATTACTTCATGCAGCCCCCTCTCCTCTCATACTTTTACAACTTTTAAATTAGTTGAAAAGAAACCTTGAAATTAGCATTAGGTAGGCATATTATTGTCTAAAAATAAAAATTTGGTGCACAATACTTTACTCCCTTAATTTAAAATTTAAATCTAAATTTAAAATGAAATTATAGCAATCAAGAAAAAAGTTTGCCCCATATTTCATCGATAGACTTTAAAGTGCAGAACATTAACAAATCGCATAAGTAAAGATACAAAAATAATAATTATTTACACCTCTTTTTCACTGGAACAAAATGCTTAGTGCAAATTTTCAGTCTTCAAAAGCATTATATGTCATTATTTACATTCTTTAAGGCAATTAGTAACTATTAGTCACAGCAACATATTAATAAATAAAAGGAATCTAGAAAAAATATTGTTCAAAGGCAAGTAGATTATGCTAATGACTTGTAGAATTCCTACTAGCCGCTAAATCGAATACGGTTTCATCTTCTTCCTCGTCGGATAAAGATAATGGTTCCATTTCAACATCAGTTCTCCTTGCTCTGACTCCGTATTTACGAACCATTATTTTTGATTTGTCTTGTTTTCTTCGCCTGCAATGAAAAGATTTGAAAAAGTTTCAAAAAGTGAAATTAGCATTACCTGTAAGTTTTCATTCCCACATAGCAAATGAAAAGTAGAGCTAGTCCGACAAATACTATAATTCCTCGGGCAACGGGGCCAGGTCCGATATCAATAGTTTTTTCTTCTAAAGTCTCGTTGATTTTTGGTAAATTTGGTGCTGGGATATTGTTAGCCGTTTGATTCAGTATAGGAGTGGAAGATGTTACGTTTGCATTTATCTTCCTATCCTTGATTGGATCTAATACAATTATAGGGGGATTTTTGTTATTTGTGGAATTTATTTCTTTGGAGAGATCTGTATGTTCCGGCGACGGTGGTTTATTGTTCGGATCTTTATATTGCGTTTGAATATTTATTGCTTGTGCGGAAAATATTAAAGAAAAGAAAAGGAATAGAATCAACATTATGATTTTGTAGATTTACATGAGGACATTTGAATAGAAGGTGTTTTGGTCAGTCTATAATCACAATACATAATACACTTGTGCAGTAATGCGATTTTTGGACTTGGGGATACTCATAAATATGGAAAAATTGAAAAATTATGCATCCGAAATCACTGACGTGTAATTTGTAAACAAAAGTAGAAAAACAATACGACGAAATGTAAACTTAAATATAACCTAAAATAATTATGAAGTTGCTTTTGATTTCCCTCTAATTTCGTTAAAGCGAATTCCATTGTCCAAACTAGTGCGACACGAGTGCAATATTTGTCAACATCACTCCATTGGCCATTTTAGTGCAAGTTCTTGAATCTCTAGGAAAGTGGTGCAGCTCTTTCTGTCCGAAAAAAAAAATCAGCTTCCATCGAGTTTACTCTTTTTACTCGGCTCTGGCTGTTCCCGAATTCCAAACGTTAAGCGACTTGTACTATTTGCTCTAGTGGTTTTCATTTCTCTCTGCCAGATCTGCTCCAAAGAGCACAAAGTTCTGGATTCCAGTTTCCAGTCACAAATTAGGGAATCAACTAGAGGTGGGTTCAGCTTGCTCACTCCGTGCACTCGGAGTGACTCCATTCGCACTCCAGCCGTTCGGGTTAAGGTTCTGTTCGGGTATTGCTTTTTACTGTATTAGGGTGACTCCATTAGCTCTGTTCACTCCACTCCAACTTCGCGCTGAATAGCCGAACCCAGCTTAGGAAAATGCAGTTTCTAGAGCAGATACAAATAAAAATGAGAACCTCACCCTCATAATTTAACCATCATTCCATAACCGCTTTCCAGTGCCTAAATTGTCAGAGTATCATGCTCCTAAAGTGTGACGCTCTTGAACTGTTCGATATAAGCAGCACTGGAACGCTCTCGTCTTAACCCCCACCATTTCGGATTTCAGGAACATGAAACACTGACAAATGGGTTGGTGCACGAGGGGGCAGGGGATAACAGAAATGAGTAGCTCAAGTGTACGACACTCTAAGCACTGGAACGCGCAAAGCAATTGTGGAGCACTCCTGAGCTGCTCAGGAGTAACTCAAATGGGTCACTGGAAAGCACCTCTCAACATAACCTAAAATAAAATTTCATCAACATGTTAAGTCATAAGTCATAACACTCATAACAGTCATAACAATATAACATAACGAATTCATAAGCAAAGAATAAACAAATCCGGAAAAAGTTTATCAGTTATTTACCAATTATATCGTAATGGATAGATCACGTAGAGGAGGCTATAACTCCAGCTACAACTACAATAATAATTATTCGAGGACCAGGGATAGAATTGATAGAAATAGAAGATGGAACAATCAGGGAAACAATCCTTCAAGAAGGGTGTAAGAATTTTTTTTATATTACGTTCTATGCTGTTTCAAATATCCAAATCTACCCCATAAGTAGTTTTCAATATTCGTTCCCGAGGAAACGCTTCCATTTATTCAGGCTCAACTCTAGGGTGTCACTCAAGATCCAAAGTACTTAAATAAGTTACTCCATGTCGCACTCTCACTCTGTATGTATAAATATTTTCCCCAAGTCATCCCATTTGTGAAATTGATGTACCTATACATTAGTTCGTTCTGTTTCACCCTTTCAAGCCTATACTCTACACTGCACTCTGCAGCCTTATAGGCTTATTGTATCTCATTTGTATGGGCTCTTCTCCTTCCCATTCATACTTGGAGATTAGATGATTGGAGGTAGCGCAGGCCAGAGGTTATTCTAAGGATTTTTTTCCACTGCACATAAAAGAAGTAAATCACCATATGTACCTATCACCACAGTGTATTACCATGATATGTATTACTAGCACACATTCATAAGAAATGTCATCACTTTTGACCGGTTAACAGGTCGCAAAACTCGAAATTCTGGTATTTTCAATGGTTGCTAAGGAAACGATGGATAATGGATAGTGATGTAAAATGCTTGAGCAAGTATTTTAGGAGAACGTTCTCCGAGCAGGATCGAGAATAAACGAGCAAAAACGAGTAAAAACGAGCAGGACCCGAAAATTTATTCTTTTTATCAGAAGCTGAATAAAACAAAACATTTTTCTAAATAAATTCTGATTTCTCTCAAATTTCCCGAAATTCCCAAATTTCTCGTGAAAGTTCTGAATATTCTGAAAATTCTTGCTGAAAGTTCTCAAACTTCTTAGGAAAATATACCTACTTAATACATAATTAATCACATAATCTGTGAATTGTGTCTTGTGTCATGTTTGATAACAATAATTATTCTAATTTGGGGTTTTCTGTGAAACTTCAACATACAGGACAACATTAGGATTCTTTTTTTTTGATAATAAAATAAAATAGTGATTTTAGTTTGAGTATATTCCAGTACAACGCTAGGTTTGCCTCCAAAAAAAAAATAACTATTGCTGGTTCGCGGGCTCAATATTCGATATATCTTCGCCTTCAGCAGCTCCCATAAATATATCTCTACTCTATGGCGTCATGTGATTTTATTGGTTAGGATAAGTAAGTAAGTAAGTAAGTAAATCTTTATTTAGCAAAAGCTAGTAAACAAACATAACAATATATAATATAACAATTTATAATAAGTTAATTTAATTTAAAGTTAATTATTCGCCTCTCAAATAATCACATAAACGTTTATTGAATAAACCAATTGTATTTACATTCTTAATTTCGTCGGGCAAGGCATTATAAAGGCGAATGCCTTCAGAAAATAGTGAGCCTTGCAAAAAGTTTCTATTAACAAACTGAACATTTAAATCAGTTTTTGAACGTAACATTCGCGAGTGAATTTCGAATCTGGTGACAACCATTTTCCACAAATATTCTGGAACTTTTTTATTTACAATCTTATAAACAAATAACATGTTCGCCCTTCTAATACCCTGCTCAACTGATAGCCACTTCAATTGTTCCATCATTCTACTTATGGCAGTATACCTGTTGCAACCCAAAACTATTCTCATACATTTATTTTGCAGTATTTGTAATCTACATATTTGCTCCTTGGGACATGCAAGCAGAAGTGATATACAGTAGGTGAAGTGGGGGTACACAATTGTGTTGTAAATCAACATTTTCGACCACTGTGACAAATCCAAAGAAATACGTCTAAAAAATCCAACCTTTTTCCCCAATTTTTTGCATAAGTATTCTGCGTGACTGGCAAAGGTCAATTGAGCGTCCAAAATAACGCCCAGATATTTAATCTCTTTCACATACTCTATAGGCTCCCTGTTAATACTAATTTCAAGATTACTAGATAGGCATCTTGCACAGTTAGTTTTAGAACCAAATAACATATATTTAGTTTTACTAGCATTGAGTTTTAACTTGTTTGCACACAACCAGTCATACAGAATGCCCAGCTCAACATTCATGGTGTCAGATATCACATTAAAATCACTTCCAGCTACAGATATTACTGTATCATCAGCAAAAAGATTGACCAGAGAGTTTTTACATACACTGTATAAGTCATTAATGTAAATTATGAACAGCAATGGGCCCAAAACGCTACCCTGAGGTACACCATAATCACTGGCTATTTTATTAGATTTTATATTGCCCAATTTTGTTAAATGGTAACGATTGCTTAAATAATTACTGATCAGATTCAAAGCTGCTTCACGTACTCCATATGATTTCAATTTTTTGATTAACAAACTACGATTTATCGTCTCAAATGCACGCTTTAAATCAATGAAAACGCTAAGAACCACATTGCCGTCATTAATTTCTTTCCGCCATTGTGAACAAACAAACTGAATAGCCGTCTCACAAGAGTGTCCATCTCTAAACCCCGATTGACCTGCATATAAAAGTTTGTTTCTTTCAAAAAAAGTTTTGAGTTGATCCCTCATGACAATTTCAATTATTTTGTCAACTACTGGCAGAAGGTTTATAGGTCGACACTCTTCCGGACGTGTGGGCGCGGGCACTTTGGCTATAGGTACAATAACACTTGTTTTTAATTCTACAGGTATCTGTCCTTTTTCTAAAACTAAATTTATTACATTTAAAAGAGGATACCCTATCACACAAAACAGATCTTTTAACAGTGACACAGTGAGATATTCGTCCCCTGACCCTTTATTCTTCAAGGAGAGCACAATTTTGCTTAACCTATTGAAGCTAATTTTATTGAAGCAAACTAAATAGTCCTCACTAACACGAATTTGGTCCGATAACGCTGGAAGTACTTTCTCTTCTATTCCTTCTGCAATGTTTTTTATACTATCACTGTAATAGTTATTAAAATTCTCCACTGGACTGCCGTTGTATCCATCAAAAGATATCTTTTCAACTTGTAGGGTTTTATCACTCTGGCCTAATAACTCTTTCATCGTTTTCCACATTTTTTTGCTGTCATATTTAGAATGGTCAATTTTACTTTCATAATATAGTTTCTTTTCATTTCTGATAATAGTTGTTAGTTGGTTTCTTCTTCTCTTATAGTTCTCCCAGTCCCCTCCATCTTTTGTAATTTTAAATTTTTTGTAGGCAATATCACGTACTTTCTGAGCATCCTTGATTTTTTTATTGGTCCATGGAACTGAGGGTCTACAAACTATTTTCTCTACAGGACATATTCTATCAATACTGTTTGCTATATTTGTGATGAAATTTTTGTAGACAATGTTAATGTCATTTGATGAAGCTCCCCAATATTTACCTATTAAATCCAATCTTAAAGCATCTATGTTATTTGAGTTTATTCTACGCTTGTACTTATATTCTGCAGAGAGGATCATGCTTGAGAACGTGCTGAATATTCTCTATCGTGCTCATTGTGCTCCGAAGGTAATATTCAGCACGAACCTTTTTTTCGTGCGCGAACGTTCGCGAATGTTCTCGAAAGCACAATCAGAACGTTCCCTTGTTCACATCACTAATAATGGATAACAGTACAGGAATCACTTTCCCCTAGGTCGAGAAAGTGATTACTAAGGAATGAATGGATAACAGTACGGGAAAGTGTGCTGATCCAGCAACATCACAAAAGCATTCCTCATTTTTTTTATTCCTGAGCGACAGCAAAAAAAATAGTATGTGTATTTCAGAGGAAAAGCACAGTCTCGGCCTTCGGTGTTTGCCGGCCTCGCGCGTCAACTTTCACCGTCGGCCGAGAATGTGACACTTTTCCACCTAAATACACAATATACTATCTTCTATTTTGGTTTTATAATAACTCATGAACGCGTCTGACATTACATTATTTGGAGTATTATAAAAGCAGTGGCGGCTAGTGACATCCTAGTTTGGTTGTGAACTGTTCAAAAAAATGCGCCACGCCCTTTTTTACATTTATCACTTACCGCGTGTTGCTAAATTAACCAAAATGGTGCACCGCCACGGATGCGGTGATTAAAATTCACTAATGTCAATGCCAAACCACAGTTTGTCAAATCCTGGTTAATTTAACAACACTGCTTGTTCTACCATTCTACCACGGTGCCTACACCAGCTGAATTTAGCCACTCGCGGAATATGCCTTATCTGTCAGAGTGGGATCCTTGACAAGGCGACAAGCCACTATGGTTTGGTTAAATAAGCGTCAGCACAGAGTCAAAGAAACAGCACAGGCCAAACAGCAAATATATTTTTGCTGAGGCCAATGCGGATGAGGTAAATGGAGAATTTTAGGTAGTGCTGGTGGAAAATTAGCAATACATTTTAGAATAAATGTGATGTATTGATAGTGCTATTGTATTCTCATATGTAGCATATTATGTCAACTAAATTATTTGTTCCTGATTCCTAATACATGAAAAAATAACTACACAGTTTTAATTTTCCACTGCACAATTTACTTTTCCTACTGCACATTTTGTGTCCAACTGCACGTTAGAATAACCTCTGGCGCAGGCGACCTACCGTTCCGTACTACTGCGATCACCCATCCAATCTCCATCCTGACACCACGTTGCTTGGCTTGAGTAGGCCGTCTCGAGTCCTTTATCAAGAACCAATGTGCCGGTCAAGTAGGGCAAGATCAAATCTCAGTCATTTTAATTAAGAAAGTGGCAGATTCTATTGCTGAACCACTGTCTCATATAATTAATCTATTGCTTGTCACAGGAGTTTCATCTCATTTCATTCATTAAAAATAGATTTTCATTCATAGTATATAACTCGGTATATAATGCCTTATGACTAGTAACATTTTATAGATTTACAATAAATTGAGTAAATGCACCTAGATGCTTGAAACATCTGTATGCACATTTTGCTTTCACAACAATGCTAAGGCGGCTTCTCACTCTCACTACATGATGCTTGTACTGTAGTTTGGAAAGTACTTGTACAAGTAAAAGTAAACTGTACACACTATGTGCTGAGTAGCCACTGCT